GTTCTTTTTTAGCACAGTGCTGAAGTCCGTCCTCTATGGGATGCCTGCATCTAGAAAGAAAGCTAGGCTGACCACCTCTAACCCTCACCAGCCTTCCCCACCATTAAACAGACAATGTAGGATTTCTCTCTTGAAAGTCTCTTCTGAACTAAATTTAGGGCTGCCTTTGCCCCTCCCCTGCCCCCAATCTTCCATCCAGATCCTTACCTCCTGATCTTATCTTTCCCAGGGCTAGGCAAGAACCATTCCTGAGGCACTGAAGAACTTTCATGGGGGTACTACTAAATTAATAATAATAGTTAACATTTATATAGTACTTAAAAGTTTGCAAAGCACATTAGATATTTGGAATGAATCCTTATTTCTTCTAACTCCTTCTTCATCCCAGTAGCCTGACTATTGACATTTGAACAAAAAACAGAGCTGAGAATAATTTCCATGCAGATAACCTCCAAATCTATGTATTTAGCCAATTCCTCTCTACCAAGATTTGGTCCCACATCACCAACTGCCTGTTAGACATTTCAGTTTGGATATCCCAAAGGTATCTCAGATTCAACTTGTCCAAAAGGCAGTTCACCATCTTTCTCCCAAACTCTTTTCTCCTTTAAGCTTCCTTAAGTGCATTGAGGGTACCACCATTCTTCCAGTTTCCCAGGTTTGACAGTTATCCCCTTGATAGAATGTAAGCTCTTTTGAAATTTAGGGATTATTTCCTTCCTTCCTTCCTTCCTTCCTTCCTTCTTCTTCCTCTCTCTCTCTCTCTCTCTCTCTCTCTCTCTCTCTCCCTTTCCTTTTGTCCCTTCCTTTCTCCCTTCTTTCCTTACTTTCTTCCTTACTCTTTCTTTCTTCCTCTTCCTTCCTTCCACCTTTCTCCCTCCTTCCTCTCTCTTTCTTCCTTCCTTCCTTTCCTTTCCCTTCCTTCCTTTCTCTCTCTCTTTCTTTCTTTCTCCCTTCCTTCTTTTTTCTTTTTCTTTTTTTCTTTCTTTTTCTCCCTTCTTCCTTTCCTTTCCTTTCCTTCCTTCCTTTCTCTCTTCCTTTTTTCTTTCTTCCTTTTTTATATCCCCGCCACCCAGTATACTGCCTGAAACACAAGAGATTTTTGTTGAATGCTTGTTGCTTGAAAAATCGAGTGATAGAATATAAACTCCTTAAGGGCAGGCTTATTTTTGTCCTGGTATCCTCCCTAGGACAAGAGCTTCTGTTTGAGATGCTATTTCATTTTTTGTCTTTATATCCTTAGTCCTGGCACATGGGAGGTACTTAATTAATGTTTATTGATTAATTGATCCCAAGATCTTCCCTCTCCCTCATCCTCCATATCCAATCAGTTGCCAAATCTGGTCAATTCTATCTCCACAGTCTCTGTCACAACCAGCCCCTTCTTTCCTCTCATGAATCCTGATTTAAGCCCTCATCATTTGTCACCTGGATTACAGGAATTGACTCTTAGTTGGTCTGCCTGGCTCTAGTCTTTCCCATCTCCAATTTACCCTACATACAGCTATGAAGCT